CATAAAGACAAGACTCAATGGCCAAGCACATTAGAAATCACCACAGATCAAATAATTAGTAAGAAAAATCTTATTCTGGAGCACTCTCTCTCCCTCTGTGATCCTTGCATTTCTGCTCACGTAAATCACCAACGTAGCTGGCAAGCYCTGGTTTACATTTGAAAAATTACTGCCATTCCTAAGACATGATGCAGCTGATTGTAACCCAACCACCACATGGTGTTTCAATAGAGTAAACACTTCTTTGCTACAGGATAGACCTATGGCCTGGCCCCTCCAGCAGACAAGAATATAACGGGTTTAAAAGGTCACTGATAACTATTACGGGTAATTACTTGCCAGTTTAATCACAAAATCCCCTCAAAGAAAAAAAAACATATATATAAAAATAGGCTAAAAATTCCTATCTGCTACTTGCCACCACAGTAAATAGCTTCTTTTGGTTATATGGCCAAGATATTTTGTCCATGGCAAGTGGCTTGCTTTTGCGGAGATCAAAACAAGCCATCACTTTTCCAACACCACCATTTATTTGCAAACTTAAAGTGTAAAATGGAAACCTCCAAAAGAAGAGGTGAAGATGCAGAGAAGGCCTGGGAACTAAAGCTGCCCAGGAGTTTCCTGGTGTTGAAGACCAGTTTGGACAAAAGCACTTCCTCAACACAGACCAACTGGCCAGCGAGCTCCTTTGATTAACCTGYTCGTTAAGCAGGCAACCTCTGATTAACCTGCTCATTAAGCAAGGTGAGGGGCTMAGGGAGCTGGCAGCAAAGCGTAGAGCTTTAGCACATCCCGCAAGGCAGCTGCAGAAGGGGAAGCGGCCACCGCTGCAGTTCAGACCCATCAACACAACGGGGCAAACGCTGCTCACAGAGCCAGGCGCTGCTTCGTGGGGCTCTGAGGAGCGCTGCCCGCTGCACTAAGTCCTGCTCACGGGTTACACCTGAGAGCATCACAGAGAGCTCCAGCAGGTCCGCGTGCAGAGCTAAGTGCTGCGCCCGCAGAGCTGCAGCGGCAGGGCGGCCGGCGCAGGAAGCAGCGGCTCTGCCTCCACCCTGCTTACTCACCGCCAGCGCCCTGCGAGGCGAGATGTCATAATCAGCAGTTGGCTCAAATCGGCAACGAAAACTCACCCCGGAAGCAAGGAAAAAAGAGTCGATTAGAGCAGTGCCTCTGATTCATCCTACTGCCCAAGGCCACTCTTGAGATAGCAGAGCCTTGCAGAGAAACAGGCTGAAAAAATGAAACCAGCATCTAGCCCAACTGCTCAAATTATAGAGTTACAACTTACCTGGTAGCAATACCAAACTTTTCAACTTCCTAACGCTCAGAGTAACCTCCCCAAGTCACATAGATGGACTCCCAGGGGATAATGAACAGCCCGGGCTCCTGGCCACGCAGCGAGAAACAAAGTTCAGGCGTGCAGGGCTCACACCCCAGCGGGCACCGCCGCAGGCGCCAGATAAGGTTGTGCAGCGCCGCCAGCCCAGCCTGTGCGCGGCCGCGCCGCAAAGGAGCTTCCAACACGGGGGCTCTTTTCCCCCTTCGCTTTACACAGAACCACGTGRGACAAGATTCTTGCCTTTTAAACTTGTGCACTGGACTTGAATGAGCAACCTCGTGGGAGCCAGAGCAACCAACCCTCTGCAAGCAAGAAATTACAAGTCTTCCTCTCTCACAGCTGTGGAACACAAGGCAACAAGATCACCCTTCGTTAAAATAATCTGTACCAAATTGTTTGTGTCATTAGTGGTTTCCTGCCCACTGCTCCCTGTCCGGTTGTCTCACACAACCCCAGAACCGTGCGGTGTTCAGCCTGCCACACTGAAGGGGCGCAGAACTACCCAGCCGGAGCACTAGCACGTTCCTCCTGGAGGAAAGTTGTGTCCAGCGCCCTCCCTTCCACGGCAAGGAGGCAGCGCGGGCAGCAGGCAGGAGGTTTCCTGTCCTTCCCCTCCACCAAAACACAACCGTGCCAAGACCCCCGCTGCGTGCGGGTACGGTCCCGGCGGCCCTGGACGTCCCGGTCTCAACAGGCGCGTCCCGGCTCCGCCTTCCCTGCGGAGCGGGACCAGCCGCGCGGCTGTTGCCTCGCGGCCCCGCACGGTCGGGGAGCCCCGCGGCTCCCGCTGCCGCCCCCCGGCCCCGGGGCAGGGCCCGCGAGGCCCGGCACTCACCGACGCCGAACTTCTCGCGCTTGGTGGGGATCCAGCGGGCCATGGCGCCCGCCCGCCCGCCGCCTGCCGCCGGGCCCGCTCCGCCATGCGGCAACTTCCCGGCRGCCGCAACTTCCCCGCCGCGCCGAGGGGACGGCAGCGAGGAAGGAGGGAGGCGCGCGGAKGGAGGGAGGGGACGGGGCAGGAGGGAGGCGGCCCCGCTGCGCTCCGCCGGGATCACCTGCTCCCGCCCCGCCCGCTCGGCAGCCTCGGGCCCGCCCGGGGTCCCGCCCGGTCCTCGTTGCTGCTGCCGTCCACCCGGGGCAGGGCGGGGGCCTGKGCATGGGGGTATTTCCCCATTACTCATATTTTGTCATCAATGAAAGGATGGCTTAAACATTACTCCAGGCATTCGGAAAACAGGGATGCAGGAAAAACAGCATCTCACGCCAGACACGGTTGCTGTCCCATGGCCTTGGGATGCAAAGGTGGCCGAGCATCCTGAGTTGCGCACGGGGGCTGAGCTGCTGCTGCTGGTGCCAGGGCCGAGCGCTGCCCCGCCGGCTCCGTGGGCCGCCCCGAGCGGGCGCGCGGGCTCCCGAGCTAGCCCGAATTCACTGGGAGCTGCCATGGACAACCCGAAAAGCCTCCCGCTGACCGCACTGCTGAAGGTGGCGAGCGGGGGAGATGACCGCGGCGGCTCTGCCTGCTCGGCTGCTGTGCGGCGCCGCGCAGCTCCTGCGTCTGCCGCGCCGCGCGGGCAGCACGGCTGGGCACGGCGCACACCGCTCGGCCTGCGCTCCGCTGGCGTTAACGCGCCCTCATCTGCACGGGCGCCTCGAAGCGGCAGAAAAACACAGCCACAAAGTAAATATTGCTAATTGGCTCTGCCCAACAAATGAAGCTGTTCTTTGCCGGGCGGGATTTCAGGCACAAGGGTGTTTGATGCCGGTGTGAGCCCCGGGAGCTGCACAACTTCCTACCAACACCTGGTGCTGTGCGGCTGCCAGCAGCACGTTGGTCACGCRGCTGCAGTGATGTGCACACAACCTGACACTCAATTGCTGCTAGAACCCRGAGCCTTCCCAAAAACAGCGCTCGGATCTTTCCCCAAGGGGTTTCGGTGCTTCCCGAGGGAGCTGGTCTCACAGCGCTGCACAAGGAGGGCGCACTGACCAACCTTATAGGACTGCATAAGACCAGCTATTCACATACTTCTTCACCCTTATGGATTTTACAACTCCTTTTACTTTAGGAGATTCATCCAAACATTTTTGAGACCTAACTTAGCAAAGTGCTTTGAGACCTTAACACAAAAAGCAAGGTACTTTGTTAGGCTCCCAAGAATTCAGGAAGACCCTGAAATGGGTTTTTAAAAGGGGGGCTGTATTCAGGGCTTCAAGGCCTTTGGCCAGGGGTTCTCTAAGGAAACCTTTAATGAGAACCTAGAACCTTGAGTTTATTTTAAGGTTCTTGATGCTGTAGTTGATCCGGTTGAGCTGTGCCAGTATTTTCTGACATAGGTAAAACAAACTCTTGGCAGCAAATGAAAAGCAGAGCCAAGCATGAAAGACTGACAAGCTGTAACTAGAGGAGCTGGTTTTATAACTAAAGTAGGGAAAGTTGATGAATGATTCATTAAATGTAATGATTTGCAAATATCAGGAGCACATGGAACAAGCAATCTCAGCTGCTGCTGAAAATAGGCTTTATTTCAGAAAGCCTTTTATTTTAATTTGTAATATTAGTAAATGTATTGGRTGATCTTTCTTTCACTTCTCTTTCTGTTTAAATATTGCTTAGTCAAKGCAGTTAATGACGAACAGTATAAACCCTGTTCTTCTTGGCCTCACACAAGACAGASAGTTAAATTCTAAGTGAGGTTATAGCAGAGATTAACCTGAGTTACATATGCACCACACCAAAACCACGATACTGAGATTGTGCTGCAGATCAGACCTGGCAGAGCATTCTGCTGACTGGGATTCATTCACATTTTTAGTGCACTAAAAATGATACTGCTTTTGAGTAAATTTCCGGACTGCTGAAGAAAAATCTCCATCTAAACTTGGCACCTCACACATTAAGTCATGTTGAGGAAACACCTTCGAAGCCAAATGCATCTCCTCTCTGTGCAGCAACCGCCAGTGAAGAAATGTGGTTCTGCTGCCCTCCCCTGTCCAAAGTAAGAGCTACAATATGGAAAGAATGTACCAATCTCTAGTGGATGAATGGGGAASAGAAGAAAAGAAGTTATTTCCTGTGGTGACATGAAAACACTCTTCAGTCACCATCCTGGGTCTATTTAGCTAGGTTATGTGCACATACTAACTGATYATCTGTTTCATGCTTTTGTACAAAAATTTCCAAAGAGAAACCTGACTCCTTTTTCAATTAAATAGGAATGGGGACTACAACAACCSTGAGGCAGCTTGGAAAAATCTTTGCCTTGATGTATTCTTAAATCAGTTGAACAGGTTCTCAGTAATCACTTATTTGGCACTTCTGTTTTAATAGCTCTGAATTTTTATGTCTGAGTTTATTAGTTTTTCAAAGTTGAGCTTCCCTAACTCCCCTGCACCTGTCCCTCCTTAAGGAAAGACAGAAGAATCCTCCCCTCTAGTCTGTGCTGTACCAGATGGCCGTCTCTGCCTTGCTCAGCCAGGAATCCCATCCACGCAGACCTAAGCACCAGTCAGYGTGATGCAGAGCTTGGTAGGATTTTGTGCTTTTCAAGGAAGCAGAAGGTCTGTCACCAACTTTGTAACTGAGAAACTGCAGAACATGTTCAGTTCTGCACGTGCCACCATTCGCTTACTCACCTGTGCCACATGGAAAGGCCAATACTGCACTGCTCTAAGAACTGCAAGTCCCAAACCCAACATTTCTGAAATGAAACACAATGGAAAATTAAACCTGAAATTTTAGAATTTCAAAAATCTCACTTCTAACACCACTTCTAACTATTTTCATCAATCAGGCTTCACTCAAATCCATTTATTGCAGCCACATGCCGTGATAAGATTCCCACAGGCTAGAAGCAAACGCAGCTCTTTGGCTCGTGAATTAATCACTGCTGGCAGCCATACTTCRTTATTCATATTAGTAGCTCATTCAGTTATCTTGGTCCTCAGTGGATGCAAATCAGCTCAGCTGCCGTGCAGCCAATTGCTGTGCTTCCTAGGCACACGCTAGGCTCCTGCAATGGCAGAAAGCTCTGTGATAGCTATTTGGGGATGCACTGCACTGATGCTGCAGTTCAAGCCAGGATGCCAAGGGCTTTTCCAATGGCTGGATATTACATTGTTGTATCTTGCTTTTGAGCTTCTTTTAAGAAGTTCCGAAAAAGGCACACACGGATGTTATCTTGCAATTCTCTCTGTCTTCCAATCTGCTTGTGTGCTTGATGAAAGGTTTTACAAGTCAGTGGCCCTCGGTAAAATCCCATTTTTAAATCTTTATGCTACGAAGTTTTCAGAGATCTCCAATTCCCATCCTCTATTAACCACTATTTTTATATTTTTAGCTATTTTATTAAAGCCCATGTTGATGCTGGAGGAAGAAGTCCATACATAAATTCAAGAAGGAGCACTTGTACAACAGCTGGTTTCACTTGAACTCCCCTGGCTCAAACTGGTATTTGTTGATGAAAAAAGCTGTTCTCTCACCCAGCAGTCAAAGGTTTGTAAGAGCCAAATGGTCACTGGGTTATGATTTTTGCCCCTTTTTCCTAATTATATTAAAAGCATATTCATTCATCTTCTAATATTGTTTTCCATGTAAGTAATTGCATACAGCAGCTCCATAAAGGGTTTGCAACTGTGAAAAAGAAGCTTGGAATTGGGCTAGATTTGGAGCAGCAGAAAAAAAATGTCCCCAGGGTAAAGTCTGTTTTATGACACCACTCACATTGTGAATATGCTTGGGAATCCTTGTCCCATCTTACTGAATAAATACTGTGGGGATAAATGTTTTGTTTCTGCTGTTCAAATACTTTAATTTCAATGCCAACATACTGGGGGTTTTATTATGTGATATTATTCCCATTTTCCATGGGAAATTAAACTGGTTTTATAATCAGTGAGATACAACAGAGCTCAGTTCATTTCCTAATAGAAAAACAAACAACATTATTGCTGCTATTGTGTCATTCTTCATTCAACCCTGAGAGACAATTACTAAAGRCTTAAAGGACAAAGGAAAAAAACTACTGAAAACATAATTATCCTGCATTTACAAAGCATAGAAGAGCAAGGAAAATTGACATGGAAATTTGTTTTAACACCAGAAATAGTTAGCAAGAGGTTCTGCCAACACTGGAGAGGCTGAGAGATGAAGTCAGTAGCAACGCGCAGACTGACTTCAATAGAATGAACATTTCAGCTGATCTTTCCTGGGTGTAATGGCATGAACYGCAATTGATGCTCATCCGGGATGGATATGGATTCTTCCCTCTTTAGCCCTGTTTCTGGTGCGTATGCCAGAGCCCTCAACTGCAGCCGCTCGAGCACAGCCACAATAGGACAGTAGCTACCAAGAGACCAGTTGCAACCTCTGGATTTACATTTTACTTTTGTTCACTTATTCTGTTTTTCTTTMCTTTTTGAAATCATGTGAAGATGAAAAGGAGGAAGCACTGGCAGACATTTTCATTAAGAATCACTGCCTCCGAAAGCCCCTATTAGCAGGAGCCCCTCGCAATGCCTGTGGTATCTATCCATCAGAGCTGAACCATGGATATCGACTGTTTGATTATTAATGCAGCTCTTACATCTTTAATGTCTGAAGAGCTTGTTCTCTAAAGTGTCCTCAGCAGGGGGTAGTGTGGTCAGATTTAATCACAATTTCCAAGCCTAGAAATGAGCTTCCAATAATTCTTAAGAGATATGTGCAGATGTCACAGTTGTCTTCATCTGACTGCAATCAATAAAATTTCTTTTTTAAAAACAGTACTTTTTCTCTTCCTCTCCTCCCAGAGAGCCTATACGAAAAGAATTTCCACAAGAAATGATTTCTCTGGTTTCAGGAGCCAGGATATCTGAAAGCTAAAAACATCTAAGTTGGAAGCCTGCTCCATTGCTACGTGCAGGAGTGTTTTTTCCTATGGAATCTAGAAGCATTTTGTTAAAAAAAAAAGTAATAGTTTTGCTTTATTTATTTCAAAGGTTGCTTACTGACAAAACTATCAAACAAAATTGGTTAGTGATGGGAAGACACAGATTCAGAGGGATKGAGAGCAACGAAAGTGGAAGGACCTGGCTGATGTCACAGCAGCTCAAGGGGGCCTGTCTCCATTGGCATATGTAATTATTTCTCGCATAATGAACCAATGCTGCTAAAACCAAAAAGGAAGCCTAGACCTGAGGGCTGATTAAAAACCCTGGCAAAGCCGCTAATATGTCTCTTAATTTACCCTCTGCTTCTCATCGGTGTTCTGTGTCCTGCCTTCTCTCATGAAAGGGCTGGGCAGCCTGGACAGAGACTTCCTGTCATTTCAGCAATGGCAACAGATGCTCTTTGTTCTCTTGGTGCTCCCAGAGCATGAGGTTTATTTTAACAGAGTTCGAAAGATGTTTTCATCTTTGCAAAGAAGCAAAACTTCCCCAGTTGTACTGGCTCACAGAAAAACCTGCTATGGGGAGATGGAAAGGAGCACTGAGGGCAGAGAGTTTAAGTCCCTAAGAGGGAGAATTAATGACAAATATATTAAAGCCTCAAGAAAAGATTTGCTAAATATAGGAATCAAAGGAAAGTACTGCAATGTAGGGAATGGGAGGGCATTAGAAATTGATTCTCTTAGAAGATCTAAGCCTACAGCCCTCACGTGGGAGCAGCTTTAAGAAGAGATCTCCAAGTGCTTTATCTGCAGAAAAGCCCTCAAGGTCACTGCAGTCCCCAGGGTCCGGAGCAGATGCTGTTCCGGCCGTTCAACGGCAGGTGCCACCACGAGACCAGCCTGGGAGCAGCCCTGCCCCGGCTCGCGGCAGCAAGGGGCACCATCCCCACTGCAGGATGGCAGCTCTCCTCCGGAGCAACCTCTGGAGCAATTCCTTTGGCAGAGCTGCAGCACAACCTAGAGCCCTTAAAACCTAGGGGCTGCTCCCCCACCAGCAGCAAACGGGAACAGTTCAACAGAAATCCATGGAGAATATGCATTTTGCAGGGCTGACGAGCTAGCCTGCAGAATTTACGTTTATGCCAGGTTATTTCCTATTGAAGTCCTTGCCTGCTTCAAGTAATTCTGCAGCAAATAGCAATGAAAAGTCCATCTCACGTTTGCAGGAGATTCAGCCTTCTGCTAGTTCAAGAACAAAGAGACGCAAGATAAACTTGTCATTCAGTGATGCTTTCTCTATTTGCACTGTGTGGAAACAAAAAGAGTATTTTTTCACACTCGTGATTTATAGGGATCTGCACAGATCTGCAAGTAAACTAAAACTCAAAACCCCTCTTTTCAAAGGCAGAGGTGGCAGTCTATATTTTACAGCTTAAAAGTGGGCAATGGGCAGTTTTTCAATTTAATGTTCAAGAGAAATGTCGAGAGAACTCTGCAACTTCCTTGCTGCCGCAAGGGGAACACGCCGAGCGGCCCCGCTGCCGGCGCCCAGCAGTGCGCCAGGCTGACGTCAGGCCGCTGTTGCCAGGCGTTTGGAAATGCAGGCACCGTCTGCGGCAACACCAGAGCAACCAACCGCGCTCAGGAAAATACAATTACTTGCTGACAACTGGTACTCCTCTACAGTAAATAAGAAAAAGCTTTCCTCTGTCTTCCTGTTCTTCTGGATTTTAATTAGTGAGTTTAGGACTGAAATCCAAGAGGAGAGATTGTCAACACCTGAGATTTTCAGCCCAAATAAGGCTTAGCTCTAGCACAGCAGCCTAGAAAGACTAATTTGTCCCTGCAAACTTCAGAGCAGAGCAGGCAGGACAACCTGCCTCTATTCCTGCTTTAMTGACCTCAGAGAATAATCTGAGCAAAGTAAAGCGAGTGGTCACAGACCCACCTTCATGGTGCAGCACCGAGCCGTGCAGCACTCCAGGATCAGACCCACGCTCCTTGGTGAGGACCTGCAGTAACAGAAGTAGAGCCGGCAGCCTTCAGCCTGCAGCATCAGGTCATGAAGTAGAGCCATGCTAAACTTCTCCAATAAATGAAAGAGAGAGGCTGGAAGTTTTTTCTTTTTTTCTTTCTTTCCTTTGGTTCTTTTTTATTTTTTTTCCTTCTATTTCTGTGTTTCACAGAATGTATTTTTGTTCTGATCCCACCTGCTGCAGATCTCTGCATTCCCCCAAAAATCATCCCATGGACCGGCACATGGTGGCACTAGAGTTCACATAAGGGAAAGTCACGATCCCAGTGAACCAGCTCTGGTTGTAGGGGCACCGCACACCCACCTAAAGGGAGGTGGCTCTATACTAGAAGTAACATCACTCCACCAGCTGTCAAGTCTGGCCCTGCACTTTCTTTGAAAATATATGTGCTGGATAAATGTATGTGAAGTGCTCCCCATTGCGGTTTTGTGCATGCTCCTTTGAAGTCCCCACAAGATTGGGAACTGTGAATTCTTGTGACCTCAGAGGAAACAGAACAATTGTTTCATCTCCACCAGTGCCAAAGTACAATGGACACTTCAGAGAGATGGAGAAATTATGTTTGCCACGTTATAATTACAGAGCCTGATCTTGCAATCAGACCTACCATAATTGTCCTTCACATTAGCAGGAAGCCTCATCAGTTTTGGACTCCACATATTCTCCATGACCCCATGCATGCCAATGAGCTAGCACTGAAAGTCTGTAAGAGCTCACAAATCGCTACTGAGCTGATAGCCTAAATTATAGATTTGTTTAAATTTTACCTTTTGATTAAGGTTAATGGGATATTTGCCTCTAGCTTCAGCTCAGTGGAAGAAAGATCAAGTCTCGGCTGCATATTACGATCAAAACTGCAATTAAAAAAGGATGGGATCTAAACATGAAGCAGAAACTGCATATGGTGACACTGGAACCCTTTTATGTCAGGGAAATAAAATACAAGCCAGTCTGCAGAACTAGCTCTTTGTCTTTCAATCCTGCAGAAACTGCTTCTCTGTGCTTTAAAAATTCAGTATCTTTTAGGACCTTATGTAAAATAAATACCTTGATAAACCCCCCTAGGAAGGTCAAGTGCCTGTGGAGTGGGCAGAACGGTGCGGCTGTTGCACAGCACGCGTGACAGGTGTGGGAAGCCACCAGCAGGACAGCACACACAGAGCACCGAAACCCCTGCCCAGCTCCTCCTTGTCCACACCAGCACCTTGCAACTCGCCAAACTCCAAACCACTGGAAAAGCCTCTGGGGATTACRCGGAGTGCCAGGCTCGGAAGATGCCCAGAACAGGGGCTGTGTGAAGCCCCTCACCCCAAAGCTGGGTTTGGACAGAGCAGTGTCCGAAGGGGAGCAAGCAGGAGGGTAAGGAAGCGCCTCTGTGCAGCCGGAACTGCAGCCGGGCGGCACRCCCTGCTAAGAGGCACTGCAGCACTCTGTCCTTCAGGCTTCCTCCAGCCCTGTGCTGCAGCGCTCGACAYGGAGCTTAACCCTTTGCAGGGCAAAGCGCCGCGGGAAAGCAGGCACCAGGGCGGGCAGTGCTTGAGCTACAGCTGCCGGGATACACAGGTCTGCATTAGGCATCTTCTGGCCTCAAAACCAAAAAGGGTCCATATGTATGTATTTAAATGCATCCAAATAATATATATTTTGCTGTGTTTTTCCATATAGGAAGCGCTCGCTGAAAAGATGAGAGTTTGTAAATGCCTGCCTGAGAATCTTAATTCCTGGCTCTCCGTTGCAAAGATCCAAGACAAGGCAGGAATGACAGAGCAGTTTTTCCTAACGCAGCTGGCCACCCGGTAAACTCTGAGGCACAGGTTCTGCCTGACTCCCACAGGCTTTGCTCAAACTTTGTGGAGGGATAGATGCAGTTTTGTTTAAAAAAAAAAAATCAACTACCTGTAAACTCAGATCAAGCTCACTAAACAGTTTAAGTTGGAATAATGGAGAAAAAGTGGAAATAGTTGCAGCAGAGAAAAGGTTTCTAAAGGAATGCCTTTGACTTCGTTTTGCAACTGACCTCAATTTCTGTCCAAGATAAAATTCTGTCTGCCTCCAATTGCCAAGCAAATTAAACTACACACACATCCCTGATTGCTGTTCTTCCCTGCAACAGAGTACAACTTTTGTGCAAGGATTTAGGGAAGCTCGAGTAAAATGTTTTGTAGCTCAGCTATGCCAGCGACTTTAGGCAGACAAATGAGTGCAGCCCCAGAGGTCAGACCTATGTGAATTTGCAAAGAGCTGAACCTGCAGTATCCTCACTCCCTTGTGAAGGACAGCCCAGATGCGGGGCCTGACAGCACGTTGTGGGAAACCGAGGAGACTTTATTAATGACTCTGCAGCACGGCAAGAGGGAGGCACTGCAGAACCACGCGCCTTACCTCCTGCTCCAGGGCCCACATCGCTGCCTTGCTCTCACCCCTCAGCTGAAGTAACTGTGTTACCGCTACTGGTCTGATCAAGTCATTGCATGGGGCTGCAGGAAACAAGAAAATCAAGTTAAAATGCAGTTCCATGAGGAGGGAAGCACAGTAACTTTTTTTTTTTTCTCTCTTTTTTTTTTTAAGAGAGAAACATCCAGTTACAGAGCAAAGAAGAAAGAGATGACCTGCTTTGGGAATGCAAACAAGTAGTTAGGGCAGGACTATTGAACACCCGAGCTCAAAGYTCCTCTATACCTTAACCCTATGACTTGCAGGCTTCTGCCCACATGTCAATGATATTCTTTGCAAGCTGCAGAATCTATTTGGCTCCCAGCCCAGTTTTTTCACCTCCAATCCTTATCTGAAGTTCAAATGCCCAAATTTATGGCTGCAYGTCTTATTTTTTCTGTATATGATTAGCTGCAGTGTCAGCGATAGATGATGCATCTCGAGGCGTGTTCTTTCAGGGCCAGCAAAGCTACCATGCTAACTCATTTAAGGCACTACTGCACTTAAGGATGCCAATCACACCAGGGAGAAGCACAAAGACCCTGGCATTAGGGCGGAGATGCTTCTGATCCTGGTCACCGGGCACACCGGCTGCCTCCTTGGTCTGAACAATGCAGTGCAGGGCCCTGCAGTACCAAAGCCCCCAGGTCTCGGACACACAGGCTCTTGTACCCACCTTRGCATGACATAGTGTAAATCAATTTGAAATTGTTCAGGAAGAATTCAGCTAATGTGCTGAGATGATGGGTTCAAAAGGAGAGCACAGCATAAAGGATCAGTACCATAGAACAGATAATGTATTCTAGAGAATCTGCTCTACACAAAATACATCATCCTCTCTTTAGTGTATCTTTCAGAGGGGAATAAACAGTGTCTAAAGACACAGGACCCTGCAAGAAAAGCCCCCATTCCTTGGGTACACATTGTCCTTGGGTACACAAGGTTAGGGGATGTGCTGAATGCTAAAATTGGTCTCAGCCTGCAAAATAATGCAGCAGCCACCGGCTTCCAGTCCTCAGGGAAAATAAAAAAAAAACTCAGAACTGAGAGAATCGCAGCCTGGAGCACAAGCCCCTTCCAAATTGCATGCCGCTGGGTGTGCTTACTGCAAGGAAGGGAAGAGGCGAGAGCAAGAGAGAGCACGCGCTTGTTGTCAGGAGCACAGACCTGCTCGGCTTAGTGACATGCCCGACACACAAGGTCCACTCGTTTGCTGTTATCTGCCACGCACAAGAGCGTCATGTTTTGCTGTTACTGCTGGCTGCTAGACAGCACCACAGATACTGGCAGCTCTGCAGATAGGACACAGCGGGGCTAAAAATGATCTCACGAGCGACATGGGGCCAAATGTGCCCTGAACAGAGCCTCACAAACACCCTCCACTGAAGTGGGAGGAAAGCAAGCAGGACCTGGCCCATATTGCTATTAAAAATACAAATCCCATGGAATGATTATTCTTGATTATTCACATAACATTTTCTTACGTTATTTGCAGTGGTCCTGAGATCTACAGACAGATACTCCCTTCGTTTAAAAATACTGGGATCTCTAAGAGGCTAGGGCTGAAATCCAGTGTGTACCTGAACAAGATGCTTCAAAGCACCCTAGAATCTGCCAAGAAAGAGCCAGTCCTTCCTCCCTCAAAAGGTTTTCCTTTTGTGTTGTTAATCTAGCTCTTAATACATTAAAGACTCATCACAGCTACAGACTCCAACTTGAAGTACTCSCTACACAACACTTTCTACCACTGTTTTGCATTTCAAAGGAACACAATTCTTAAACATGAAACAATAAAGTATAGGAAATATTAGGTACAGAAAAGAGGGTATGTAARGATTCAGGCTTGCAGAACCGAGTATCAGTGAGCACTGAAACACTGATGTCTTAAATAGAGTATTACCTTATTTTGTAGGACTGTAATGAGGACAGTAGCACAAGCCACACGGAGAACTGAACTCAACACCCAGATTCCAGCTGCGCTTTCTTGCTGCATGGTGCCGCTTGGACTAAACCTCCTCATTATTTGTTTTCCCTGTCAATTTAAACCATCAGTTCTGGAAATCTGTGCCTGTCAGCACCTCTTCCAAGGTGTTCACAAATGTTTTTATCTCTTTTTCAGTATCATCTCATTTTAACACTGGAAGGGCTGCTARGAATATTCCAAGATGGTCAAAATGGTAGATAAGTCTGCATGTAAGTACATATGACTGCATGTCCTTAAAAACGTATGTTTTGTACACACAACGAAAGGAAAGAAATCATCATTCTGGCATGTAAGACAATCCACTAAATTGTTCATCTTCATTAAAATTGCACTAAGCCAATATTGCTTGCAGGAAGTGCCTTCAGGAGAGGAATCAAGCAAAATAATGAGTTAATTGTGTGGCCAGTGTGTATTAGGTCATTGTGTCTAATGATACTGATCAACAAAGATGTGCTAAAACAGGCTTTTCTGACGTGAAATTCCTTGTGCAAAGAGTAGAATAGTATGAAGAGCTAAAACCAATTCCTAATTGCTCCAGACTCTTYGAGTAAAACAATGTTTAAATAAATGCATTCTAGCAAAAGATTGAGTGACCAGGCCATTTTTAAAGCTAGACAACTCAGAGGGAGGCACTGTCTATTTTCACATCACATTTGCATGCAAAAATCACAGCTTGCAGCCACATCTGCTGAACCTACAAGAGCAGTTGCCCTTGTAATGTGATCTGCAGACTTTTAAAAACCAGCCCATTGATTAGCTGCAGGACTGCAAGATGTGATTTTATTTATTTATTTATTTATGCCTGGAGCAACCCCCTTAATCAATGAACACCGGCTGAGACCAGTAAGGGGAAAAAAATAGCAATAATCTAATAACAAAGAGGGCTTCTATGCACAAACACTAATAATCAAGTTGGCCTTCATGACTACCTAGAATGAAATGTAATGAATGATATGACTTCAAGTTACTTAGAAGACTGCAAGTTATTGTTTTACAGATAGCTTTTTTTCTTAATGTTATTTACTATTTCTGTTGCAGAGGAGCACTGGAAGCCTGTGCTAAACKACTGCATGGTAACGTGCAATCCAAACACCTCAACATAAGAGCGAGATAAGGCAGTCTGGAAAAACCAAAGCTCAAACCAGGTTGGTACTCGTCAGTACAAGCCTTTTGTATGCAAACAGTATCATCAAGTATGTGATTCTCCTCTTTGCAGCTCCTGCTCGTGCTGCAATCAGGCACATCCACCACACATCCATCTGCAGCACCCTCCTTCACCCACCCTCACCCSGGTCTGCACAAGCGGCACACGCCGTGACCTGCCTGGGCTCCTCCGTGTGAGATAACCTCGCTGGGGAATTCGCCCTGGCTGGTGGTTGACATTCCTCACTGTGGGCTCTGGTTTGTGGGTGGCTCTTGCTAATGGCGCCTCCTGTTCCACCCCTCTCCTCAGATGATTTAATAGGGATGATGTCAATACCCCTTCACAAACTGAATTAAAGCTGCTGCTGTAGCTGCCCCTGTAGGAAAATCTACAAGCTCCTCAGTAACCTATTTAATCACAGAGCAGCTTTTTAGCCAGCAACAAAGGTGCACAAGGAAAGACAGGCAGCATTTGGGATCACGGTTGAGATCCCCATAAAGCAGGTGCCAACCTGCTTTTTACAGTATCACCACTGATTGGGTTTCAGCAAATTTCCTCTTGCTACAATTCCAGCTAATACATGACACCCATATAGGTGGGCAGCCTACAAAGGCCTGTGCCTACCTGCTGAGGCATCTGTTTCAGACACCATTTTCCTGTGCTCTATAAAAGAAGCTGCATACGCAAGCACTTTTCTCCCTTCATCAAAGCCTCCAGGATGGGAAAGAGATGGCATAAATAATTCACAGCATGTTACCAAGAAAAGCACTGAAATTGCAGCACTTACTTATCTGCCCGTATGCAGGACTAGTCCAGCGATGTGACTGGTACCAGATCTTGGAAAGGCTTCATCCTGACAGCAACATTTCCAATATGAGAAGACATCCTGACTGGAACACACACAAGCCTGCTCAGTTTTTCTCTTTGCTGTTTATTTATTACATCTGGCTTATTGATGATCATTTTTAATGGTTTATAACAGTAACTGGTGCCCAAATGAATCCCCTACCACACATTCCTAACTTTGCACTGTTAGTTTATCTATAAAACAATTGCATTCAATGACCATATGCCTCCCCACATCCATTTATAATTCCCCAATTGATAACCTGTACATGCTTTCACACACGAAACATCTGGGAGCCAATCTCAATCTGGCACCTCTCTGACTCTTCTCAATTTCTCTTTTAAATTATCTCATACAGATGGAGCATTGTAATTAAGCCTGTCAGATCCACACACACGCAGTGAATCATTTTCAAACACAATTAGTAGAGAGTGGGTCTCTAGTGGGGGGGTTGCAGTGATGGAAATCGGAAGAGAAATGTTTCATGGAGTAAAGTAAACCGGAATAAATCCAGACATGGGTTAAATGCCATTTAGCTCTAGTGCTGTCTGCAGTAAGCAGTTCATCACGTCAAGCCGGGCAGCAGAACCGTGATAAAGAGCTGTGGGGAACGAGCCACACCTCCTCCTCCTGCAAACTTTATAGTCTCTTTACTTCCTCAGCATCCAAATGGATTTTTGGGGCACTGAAAACATAAACACAGCTCCTTTTTGATTTTGAAATTAGAGTCACATCATGAAAAGCTGGTAAGGAAGAGCATAACCACGACCTGCTCCAGCTCCTGCTCAGCTCCCGTTCACATTGGCCTCTTTGCCATACAAGTGCACTRGGCATTTCCAAGGATTCGGATGTGGCCCATTTGTAACTCCTGGCCTGTAGAGGAGGGCAATTTTAATGYGCGACATGGACAAACCTTGTGAACCTCAGTCAGTTACAGAAGGGCTCAGGTGGTAGATATTTATTCCAATTATTCATGGGATGGAAAGCCAATTTTGTGACTTAAGTAAATTACTTTATCAGAATAGGTTCACACATCTAGTGTACCAACCTGGGGACATGAGTTTGTTTTCTGCACATAACCTTTCTAAACATCGCCTGCTTCTGCAAGAARGATGCAGTTAGTATTCTCTAACCAGGGAAAAAAGGAAACAAAAAAAAAGGATTCTTAACCAATAACTGAATCAATAATTGAATATATTAACCTAAGACACTAAGAAAAATGTCCTTGTTTTGTAGTCTACAGTGCAAATTAGTAGCAGCTCATGAGAAGCCATTAGGTGCCCATGCTCTTTATGCGAGTAAAATAAATGATAAATCAGCATACTTCAAGGTCTTTAATGCTCCATTTGTAGTTATATAAAGTGTATTAGGAATGATGTGCCCATCAGGTACTAGAAGAGATTAACAGGCACCAAYTGCAAATGCTTTAAAGTCATTTACTAGGCTGGGAGACTTCAGTGATAAGTGTGGGAGGAAGACAGGGAACGAAAGAACGCAGTCTGGCTCCTGCGTGTGCTCTGTATTCACTTGAATATTCTCCTTAAACCTATTCAAGTGAAACCTTGGAGAACTGATGTTACAGACAGACACACAGATACTTCTATCCATATAAATAACTTCATAAAAATTGCAGAACATGACACAAATGAATCCCCAGTTCCAAGCATCCGCTCTAACCCTCCGTCTTTCTACGAGTAAAATGACTTATTCATTATGTAACATCTGCATGCTCCTAAAGATGCACAGCTAGGAACAGCTGAGCTAAAAATAGACCTGAAAAGGGAAACAACTTGTCTGCAATAGATATGTGAGCAGATTCTGAGATACAAGATGAGGAAATGAGGTGTTTGTCTGGCATCCAATGAGCAGCTCCAGCTTATGAGAGGTTTTCAGAGCTCAAACAGGTTGGTAAGTATTCATCTCTCTAGCAAATTCCCACAAAAGTCACGCTTCCCAAAACGTTAGGATTACATGAGATTCAGAACAGAATGGTACCAAGGCCAACTGCCCAGTTTGAGGCTCACTGGGCTAAAATCAATGCTAGAGCTAGAGGCAGCAGRGACTAATAACAGGGAGCTGCTTGTGTGTGTGGCTCAAGAACGGTGCTGTTGGGCCCGTGGCTATTTTTAGAGTACAGCTACATTTCCAGGCACCAAGGGCCGACGGGACTGCTCAATCAGCACCCATTTGTCACCCAGTGCTGCACCAAGATTCCCATCCCACCCTCCTGCAGAGCATCCTCCCCCAGCTGCGTGCTGGGCACTTTAAAGAGTTTTTCTGAGATGCTCTGCAGCAATCCCTGAGGAAGAAGAGGTTAAAGGAATAGCTTGTACAGCAGTCAGTGCGGAGAAGCGGTACAGAGTGTTTTATTGCTGCTTATTCCTGCAAAACACAATAAAAATCATGTCTCCTGCACCCTGGCCCTTCTTCCAAGAAATGCCTGCCCAATAGATAATCGCTGCTGACTCAATGCCCAAGAGGGCTCTTTTAAAGAAGAAAACTGCTGCAGTATATACCGTATTCATCAAACATTATTGCTGCTCTCCAGAGTAACAGGAATATCCATTACCAAAGGACGAATAGATTCAGCATCATCTTATAGTGGCTGCAGCAGTATTCTTTTTATTTTAAAGCAATGGTTTCTTTTGGCTGGGATCCAGAAAGAGGAAAAAGAAGAMAGTGGGGGGAGAGCAAGATAGGCAGAAAAGGCAGGAAAGAAGAGGCTGAGCTGCCTCCAGCTGAGTGCAGGGGCTCGGCGGGGTCCAGAGGAGCCGCAGGGCTGCAGTGACTCAGCCTCCTCCTGCAGCAAAGGGCAGCGCCGCAGGGTTGGGCCCTGGTCTAGGGTGGCGCAGGCTGCTGGACGGGCACTGCTCCCTGCCCAGACCCCCCCCCCCTTTGAACCACCCAAACCCAACGTGCTCCTAAAAGCCCTGCCAGGGCCTGCCCAGYGTGTGCACGGAGCCGCTTTGCCAGGGCTGGGCCGCGGGACACGGCTGCAGAGCTGCCAGCCCTGCCCTGTTATCTCCCCCACGCAGAGCAGACGCCCACACGCTCCCGGGCGGCACGAGAGCCCCACGAGCTCCCTCGGCACTGCTCTCRCCTCCTGCCTGCTCAACAGCAGGGAGCCCCTTCTCTGCAGGCAGCCTGGTTCCCACACAGCCACTCCTGCTCCTCTAAGGACTGACTGCAAASGACTTTCTCCTGACTGCAGAAACCTTCACAGCACTGAAAAGAAGGGCCATATAGTACATCTGCCTGTGCAGACCCRTGGCAGAAACAGCTCTCTACAGCAAGTGTGTGTGAAAGTACCACCCAGAAAGGAGTCTGCCCCTCAGTCTGACAGTCACCTAAGAGGTGCACAGTGTACGAGGGCRGTCACGAGCACAGAACTCCACTCTCAGGCGGATGAGAGCAGAGTCGCTCTTGGGACGAGGTTTGGGAGGCACCGAAACCCTGCTAGCTGCAGGAGAGCTGCTGAACAGCAAAGGGGAGGCTTGTTCTTTCTGCTTCTTTTCTTCCCTGCAGCAGCTGGGCTGCTGGCCAACGCCCGGGACAGGCTGGCTCCTCCTCTATGCGGGACTCTCCTCCTCTCTCCCTCCCTTCTCTCTCTGGAAACTTGGTGCAGTGCTGAACTCTTGCCAGCAGCCAGACCTGCTGCAGAGCAGCAGCCTCCCAAGGGGAGCCGGGAGTGGCCCCGGCAATGCTGCCCACCCGGCCCCGGCCTCCTGCCCCACTGCAAGCCAGTACACTCCTGTGCTCACAGGCTGCCCAGCACTGGGGCAGCTGCGGTTGCTGCCCCGCTCGCCAAAGGCAAAGTCACCGTGATYGTGTCCAGCCCAGGACGCGCAGAGATCTCTCCTAAGCTTCCCCCGGAGCTGCAGCTGCCTCTGCTACTACTCCTGCTATTTCACCCCGTGCAGATCAATTCCATCTCCTTCCCTCCAAAGGCAGGGYTGAAAGCTTCAGCTCCCATCTCCGCTCAGGCTGCAGCTCCACGCGGGTGCATTCCCAGCAGGAGGCGCTGGAGCAGCACAGGCACCAGCAAAGTGCTGCAGTCTTCCCGCAGGGAACTGCAACCCAGAGTTAACCCTCCCACAGCCTTTCCCTTCCCTCTGCTACCAGCACCTCTCAGTCCAGGGCAGGCTGCTCCCGGGATGACAGCCCTCCTGAAGGAACGATTTGGGTCACATTCCAGGGACAGTGGGACTGCCTGGCACAGCCAGTCCGAGATGCAGCTGAGCAGCGCCTGCAATGCCCTCCTTCCATACGTTCTTCAATACGTTCCCTCCTGGAGCTCGGGCGCAGCACCAGGGAGGGGCGGGGGCAGTCACTTGCCTCCTGTTTCATGCATTGCGCTGCATTACGGCATCAAACAACCCACTCTTTCCCCTTCCTCACCCACTCCACATGTCTACACCTCGGGGTTTTGGCTTCCGGAGGCCTTGGCTTCCCATGCACCGGGCTGCACAGCGGCAGCTTCCAGGGCCCAGCAGAGAGGCTCCCCTTTCCTCAGCATCCCTGAGCCTCTCGTGAGCCGACACGCTGCACAACCTACCTCCAGACCTACCGGCCTTAAACTCCACATATTCCAGGATTTAAAGATGATACTAGATAGGAACAACACAGCTTGCAACACTTCTGCTCCCTTCACATTATTGGAAATGAAAGCACAGCCCTGCATACAAATCACTTAAATAAAACAGGGAGCATCCTGGTCTTACCAAGAGCTACACATGTCCCCAGCCTTGGTCTAATGAAACCAGCTGCTGTGGCTCTTGTAACCATCTCCTCTTTGCTATCTTCATGTACACGCTCAAGGAAAAACAAAAGCCAAGTCACATGTAGCCACTACTGAAGTTAAAAAGGARTTAATGAAGCTGCTTTCCACTTTCAGCAATGGGTATTATAAACAAATTAGGAATCTTTTCCTAAAATCATAAAAAATAACTTCAAACTATTTCTTTTAACTTGTAATTCAAAGGCAAAAGCATATCTTGGCTTGCATTAAGATCTGT